CTGGGGATCAGGCCCACAACCTGGGCATGTGCCCTGACCGGAATCGAACTGGCGACCTCTTGGTGCATGGCTTGATGCTCAACCACTGAGCCATACCGGCTGAGCAATCAGGCATTTTTATTTTTTAAATATAACTAAAGATCTTTTATTTGTTTTTCACTAAGACTTTATCTTAGGACATAATTAAACTGTGTTACCACCCCCCACCTCAACTTGAAGAAGGATTAGTACAGTGAATGTTATAAAGCAGATATGAACAGTTTTTAAAGGATTGGAACCAACATTAACTGACAAAGAAAAACTTCCTTCTAAATCATCATCATAATGTTTAAGTAAAAAAAAAAAAAAAAAGAGGAAAAAAGGGGGTGATGGAAGTTCAGGATCCTCACATTTCATCTAACACATTCAATCCTGGCTAGAATGTACCAAAATGGAAACAAGATTACTATAATACAAAACTTCCACTGCAGATTGCTGTACACACCTGTGTTCCAAGCCCACCCCCAACCCCCAGTGCTTCTAATACAGCTATTTCCTAGCCTGTTGGGCCTGCTGAGGAAGGAGCATGTAGATCTTCTCTTTAATCCAATCTTTGTTATAAGGCTGGTAGGTCTGGGTATCAGCTGGGTACACAAGACAGCTGAGGTCTGCCAGATCATCAATAAAATCAAACAACTGGCTGATATCATATGTAATAGAAGGGCTATTGGGATTCATTCTCTTCAGATGTTCTTCATACATTTTACAAACGCCTTCCATGCATTCATTCACTGATTCATAGCCTAAGTTCTGCCTTCTGGCCTCTTGGTAGGCCGTACCAGTAAAACGGTGAGACATCACGCCCAAGCCCAACTTTTTCGCTGCAGCCGCCGCTGACACCACCGCCAAACAGGGGCTTAGCCTCGAAGCCGCCAACAGCCACCAGCCCCCCAATCAGGCATTTTTAGTTCCCTGCCTGACATCGTTGATTTGGGGAAAGAACATGGGGTTTTGAGTCAGAAAAACCTAAGTTTGAATCCCAGCCCTGCTAACTCAATAGCTAAATGATTTTGAAAAGTTTATCTCTTTGTCTGTTTCCTTTTCTAAAAACAGGAATTGTAATGTTCACCCAGCAAGGTTTACCCAGTAGTAACTCAGGAGAAAGTCGCTAGCATAACATCTGGCATGGTAAGCAATCAATAGAAGTTAGTTCTGTTTTTTTCTAAATCCTCAACTAAGGATATTTTTCTGTTTATCTTCAGACAGAGTGGGAGGGAGAGAGAGGGAGAGAAAGAGAGAAACATCAACTGGTTGCCTCCCGCAAGGCCCTGACCCCAACCAGGATCTGGTCCAACCGCAACTGAGGTACGTGCCCTTGACCAGAATTGAACCAGAGACTTTTTGGTCCAAGGGCCGACACTCTACTGCTGAACCAAACCAGCTGAAGTTAGTTCTATTTTGCTTCTTTTTTCTAGTTTAATAATTAAAAAATAAAGCAGAAATAAATTCAAGATTTATGGTTAGTATCATTGAAATATTTAAAGATGAAATTATATGACTAGGATTTGTATTAAAATAATCTGAGTAGGGAATGGAATTATAGATGGAACTATATTGACCATGAGTTGGTAATTGTCACATGAATGGGTGTATGGGTGTACATTTGTGTGTTTGAAATGATCCATAATAAAAAGTTTAAAAAATTATGCCATACATAAAAAAAAAATTCAGTGAACAAAGACTTTCTCAAGGTAATGAAGAACCAACTATTTGTTATATTGTACCTTTTTAAAGACGATGATTGAAAACAGTCACTATTGGTTTATGAATGGTGGTAGTTTTTTTCTTCAGCTACACAAAATGTGTAGTCACTAGTTCTTTGACTAAGAGGAAGGAATGTCAGGAGGGAAGCCTGAAAAAATCCTGGAGAGGTTTAAATGCTTTTGTCTGATTATCTGAGTCACTCCTCAGGGCGGAGGCTCTGTGGCATGGCTCCCGGCCAACATAATTGTTGGCTGGATAAAGAAAGCTGTTGGACCAAGAAACACGTTCATCAAAATGACCACTATGACACTGGAACAGTTTTATATACAGACATGTACTCTGTTGTCTCAGGATGATAATGGAGATGTACCAGTGCTTCCTTTTCTGAACCCTATTAATTTTCTATACCGAAAAAATTACAAAAATTCCAGAGTGACCACATGTGAATTACGTGCTCACAGGAACGTGGCTATTCTCTACAGCACTGAGATGTACAAGGAAAAAGTAGTATGACTTTTCTTGTGTTTAGTGATTGATGAAAGGCATGTCAATTATTGCAAAAAGCTAAAGATCTACTTTTTAAAAATTCTTGCAAATCTCACTGGGGTCAATTCTAGAGACTAATGTATTTGAGAAACGTTCCTGGAAAAGAAGAGCTGGTTTATCTGATATATTTCAACAATTGGCATTCATAATACAGAAATGTAGTTAGATGCAAGTGCTTAGTATTTCCATCAAGCTTGATGTTCTTCTTTTTTTTTTTAATTTTTTTTTTCCTTTATTGATTTTAGAGAGAGAGAGGAAGTGAGAGGGAGATAGAAACATCAATTGGCCACCTCCTGCATGTCCCCCACTGGGGATCGGGCCCACAACCTGGGCATGTGTCCTGACCGGGAACAGAACCAGTGACCTCTTGGTGCAGGGGTCTATGCTCAACCACTGAGCCACACCAGCCGGACCAAGCTTGATGTTCTTAATCATTAATTAAATGTTTTAAAAAATTTTAATACTCGCCCAAGGATATGTTTTTATTGATTTTTTTAGAGAGAGGAAGGGAGAGAGAGAGAAATATCGATGTGAGAGAGAAACATCAATCCATTCCTTCCACATGCACCCTGACCAGAGATCGAACCTGCAACCTAGGTATGTGCCTTGACCAGAAGCAAACCTGCAACCCTTTGGTGTACAGAACCATGCTCCAACCAAGTGAGCCAGGGCCGTCAAATATTTACTTTTAAGGAACAAAATTAGAAGTCAAGTGTCAATTCAGTAGAAATAAGGATTTTCATTTTCCTGTCCTGCATTTATAAAGTAATTGTTTATTTCTTAAAACGTTTCTCAGTGATGTTGGTATTCTTACCCGGTAAATTGATATTTAAGTAACTTTTCATTAAAGTCTCAATTCAAGAATTATTCAGCCCTGGCCAGTTTGGTTCAGTGGTTGGAGCGTCGGCCTGCGGACCAAGCAGTCCTAAGTTTGGTTCCCGCTAGGGGCACGTACCCCCCCAAAAAAATTATGATTATTCAACATTGACACCCACTTGTAGAATATTACTATGAAAGAGGTATAAGCAAAGACCTATGGGGGCACCCAAAGGATTGATTTAGTTCTAGTGGGGTTGGAGTATAGTAAGGAGGGGAGGAGGACAGGGAAGGAAGACATCTAGAAGGGAAGTAACAGCTATTTAAAATGTACTATTGTGCCCTGGCCAGTTTGGCTCAGCATTAGAGCATCAACCTGTTGTCCAGAGAGACCCAGGTTCGGTTCCCACAAAGGGCATGTATCTCTGTTGCAGTTTGTCCCTGGCCCTGGTCGGGTCGTGAGGGTGGCAACCATTCGATGTGTCCCTTTCACGTCGATGTTTCTCTCTCTCTCTTCCTCTCTCTCCTTCCCACTCTATCTGAACAAAAAATGGAAAAATATTCTCGGGTGAGGATAAAAAAATAAAATGTACTATTGTGGGTACCAAGTCCTTTTATATATTTATTTGTCTTACAGAACTGCTTGAAGTTGGCAGCAGTTCTGACTCAGACTGCCTAGATACCCATCCTGGCACCTAACAGCATTTACTACTACGAGGCCTTAGCCAAGATTGCATAGGACATAGTTATACTAAAAATTATTCATTTTTTTAAATCTGAAATTTAAATTTAACTGAGTATCCTTAATTTTATCTGACAACCCTACCACAGGGGATCAAATTGGTGAAAGCTTAGAAATTACCTAGAACAGTGCTGAGGCATATAAGTGTTCAATAAATGTTAGTCTTTATTTTTGAAATTATCCCATTTTATAAATGATGGAAAACTCAGGTTAAACGATTTGCATTTTCTTCCATTGATTAAAAAGTAGTCGATCTGGATTGTAAAGTGCTGCAGCTACTTTAGAAAAACAGTTCAGCAGTTCTCAACATGGTAAACAGAGAGTTACCATATGACCTGGCAACTAAATCCAGCCCACACTCTAGGGGAGCAGATTAAACCAGGCTGTGAATATGGGGAGGGGGGCACTGGGGGCCGCCTTGGAGGATGGCTGCCATAGCATGCAATGGTCATCTGTCTAAATCAGGAAGATACTTCACTATTCTGCTCTGAGGGGTTGCCCATCTCTTTTGAGAGGGAAAACAAAAGATTAATATATAAAAATTTGACAACTTCGAAGTCTTTTGAGTCACTGTAAAGGGGAACTAAATACTTATAGAATAACTTAAACATATTGCTATTGAAGAACTGTAACTCTTCTTTTAACTAATTCAAGTTGAGTATTTTAATTGTTGGCTCTCCTAGACTCCAGGACCTTCAGAGAAGGAAGCTGCCGCAAAACGCCATCATTCGTGGAACAGATGTGTCTATGTATCTACACGGGCTTTTTACTAGTTACATGTTTGAACTACCAAGTGAATGTTAATTTTTGTGCATAGAGACTCATGTGAACTTATTAACTATAAGGGTATGTTATTGTTTCAGAATATGTAATGTGAGCATGCCATGTATATCAATTTGGAATTTTTTTCTGCAGCGAAAAAACAACAAACAACAAGATAGGCATCTGGAGCCTAAACAATTAGGCCTGATTGCTGATTGTCTCACATAGTTTAATTGCAGAGGTAGGCAGTCCTGGTGTGGTGTGGCCTCGTGATGTAATCAAGGACCCAGCAATCGGAGTTTGACCACGCTGTGTGCTGACTTGTTGATCTGAGATCCTGTGGTGGCTGCTGCAGCTCTGTGTACCTGCACCTACTTTTTATTTGTTTAGCCAGGGGAGAGGGCAGACGCAGTCCCCCACTACCACACCTTATGCAGGCGAGTTTCCCACTTTGGGGAAATTGCAGGGGTCAGTACATCCGGAGTGCAATGGATGAGCCTTCACCTGGGAAAACCGCCTTGGTGATCATGGTATCTCCCCTGCCTGGTAAGTACCCTGCACCCCTTTTAAGGCAGGAAGGAGAAGGGGCAGCACCAGGACCGTGTCAATGGCCTCTTCTAGTTCCAAAGGAGGCTCAGAAAAAAAGCACCAAAACTTTGCAGCGTCTCTAGTGGAAGAGGACAAGGATGAAAGGGCTCGGGAACGAGTTATGAGTTAGCTCTATCAAAATGAATCACGGTCAAAACGTTGAGAAATACGGCTTTACATGTCAACAGGATTTGGGCAAGCTGAGAGGCGAAATGACGGCTTAGGAGTACAACATGAAGCAAGGAGGGAATGAACACTGTGGGTTGGTTCACAGGCATTGAGGAGCCTAGTCCTATTAGATGGAGAATAATGTTGAGAAATGATAGAAATTGAGTGTGGGGCTTAGCTTGGCTTAGAAATTAATAGGCCCTGGCCAGTTTGGCTCAGCAGTTAGAACATTGGCCTGCAGTCCTGGGTTCAGTTCAGGCCAAGGGCACGTACCTCAGTTGCAGTTCATCCCCGGCCGCGGTTGGGGTCATGGGGGTGGCAACCAATCGATGTGTCTCTCACATTTTTTAAAAATTTAATTTAATTTAATTTAATTTTTGGTATGTGCCCCTAGCGGGAACTGAACCCAGGACTCTCTCGTCCGCAAGCCAACGCTCCAACTGCTGAGCCAAACCGGCCAGGGTATCTTTCACATTAATGTTTCTCTCTCTCCCTCCCACTCTGTCTGAAGATAAATATAAAAATATCCTCAGGCGAGGATTTAAAAAAAGAAAAAGAAATATTTCTTTAATAGGGCATCGCTACAGGGTTTTGAGCAGGGAAATAATATATTAAAAAAGGGACGAGAAACCTCTCTCTCTCAAATCAATAAAGAAAAAAAATAAAGAGGGATGAGAAATATTTGGCTGTATGAATTACAAGGAGGTGAGCTAGGAGATCAGGAAACTACTGTGATAATGCAGTTGTGAAATACCAGCTATTAAGGTTGAACCATATGTAATTCCAATATTCAACCATTTTTTTCTTTTTTAATCCTCACCTGAGGATATTTTTTCCATTTATCTTTGGATAGAGTAGGAGGGAGGAGGGGAGAGAGATAGAGAGAAACATTGATGTGAGAGAGACACATCGACTGGCTGTCTTCCACACAACCCTCACCAGGGCCGGGGACCAATCCACAACTGAGGTACATGCCTTTCACTAGAATCAAACCTGTAATTCTTTGGTCCATGGGCCGACACTCTTTTTTTTTTTTTTTATCCTCACCCGAGGACATTTTTCTATTTTTTGTTCAGATAGAGGGGGGGGGGCGGGCATCGATGTCAAAGGGACACGTCGAGTGGCTTCCACCAGCACGACCAACCAGGGCCAGGGACAAACTGCAACCGAGGTACGTGCCCTTAGCGGGAACCGAACCCAGGTCTCTCTGGACCGCAGGCCGATGCTCTAACCGCTGAGCCAAACCAGCCAGGGGCTGGGCCGACACTCTTAACTACTGAGCCAAACTGGCCAGGGATGTTCAACTATTAAAATTTTTTTTTTCTTTATTGATGAGAGAGAGGAAGGGAGAGGGAAAAAGAGAAACATCAATGAAAGAGAACATCAACTGGCTGCCTCCTGCATGCCCCCCACTGGGGATCAGGCCCAAAACCTGGGCATGTGCCCTGACCAGGAATTGAACTGGTGACCTCTTGGTGCATGGATTGACACTCAACCACTGAGCCACACCAACCAGGTATGCTCAACCATTTTTTTGACCTACAATATTATTAGATTCATTCATGGTTGAGGTGATGGTAGGATTTCCAAATGAAGAAGTCTAGTAAATAAATGAAGATCAAAGACATAGACTTTCTGAGAGTAGAATATTGGAGAAAAATTTAAATATCTAGATAAAAGTAGATACTGCCTGGCTGGTTGGCTCAGTGGTTGAGTGTTGACCCATGCACCAAGAGGTCACCATTTTTATTCCCAGTCAAGGCACATGCCGAGGTTGTGGTCCAATTCCCAGTGGGGGGCATGCAGGAGGTGGCCAATCGATGTCTCTCTCTCTATCTCCCTCTCCCTTCCTCTCTCTCTCAAAATTAATAAAGAAAAAAAAAGATAAAAGTAGATACTTTTCATTCATATTTCCTGGATGATTTTATTAACTTTTCTACACTGAAGCTGTCACTTGCTGATGGTTTAACCCCTACAATTGATTCTAAACTCCACCCTCATAATCATATTCAGCTACTCACATGACATCTGCCCTCAGATATCCCAATAGATTCTTCCATCTCACCATGTCAAAATAGATATCATTTTCCTTCCTTCCCTTTGCCTCATCTGTCTCATACTTGCCTCCTATTTTTTGTCTCATTTAGCAATATCAACATCCAACTTAACTTTGATTGATCCCTCTCCTTACCCCCTACATCCTTTGCTCATCAATCTGATCAATTCTGCCTCTTGAATCCATCCTTCCTCTCCATCTCCCACTGCCACTTAGTTTAGGCTCCCATCACTTCTCACTGGTTTACTGAAATAACTTTTACCGGCTTAGGTCTCAGCAGGGAAACATCCAAACTGCTCCCAAAGGGATCATTTTAAAATATAAATTTGATCTTGTCTCTTCTTGCTTAGCTCCTTCTAATAGCTTCTAATAGCTTTCAATACATAATGAATAGCCCTGGCTGGTTTGGCCCAGCGGTTAGAGCATCGGTCTGCGGTCCAGAGACGCCTGGGTTCGGTTCCCGCTAAGGGCATGTACTGCAGTTGCAGTTTGTCCCTGGCCCTGGTTGGTCATGCGGGAGGCAGCCACTCGATGTGTCCCTTTCACGTCGATGTTTCTCTCTCTCTCTCTCTCTCTCTCTCTCTCTCTCTCTCTCTCTCTCTCTCCCTTTCTCCCTCCCTCCCTCCCTCCCACTGTATCTGAACCAAAAATGGAAAAATATCCTCTGGTGAGGATAAAAAAACAACAACACCATAATGAATAAAATACAAATTTATTACCAGAAGAACTCTCCACCTTATTTTCATCCTGAGTTCCTTGCACTTCCTTGAGCTCATCTAAGTTCCTCCACACCAAATTTGTCCTTTTCCAAACATACTATGCTGTCATAATTCCATGCCTTTATTGTTCCCTTAGCCTGAAACTGTTATGTCCACCTTTGAACTGTTGGGTCATCATTTAGCAATATCTCCTATGAAGATTCCTCAGATGTCAGTTGTACCTTTTTTTTTCTGCTCGCATGGTAAATTACTCATTAACCTTTGAAGAGCCTTTATCACATTATACTGTTGATATTCAAGTATTTTTCTTGGCTTCATGGACAGTGTGTTCTTGGTGTGTCCTGGTGTCTAGTACAGTGCCTGGTTCACAGTTGGTGCTCAACATATATTTGTGAACTGCATTGCCATTAATGTGGTTACGTTGTCCCCAGAAGTAAGCATAGGGCAGGGGAGAAAGGACTGACCCAAGGGAATGCTCATAGTTAGAGGATGGAGGAAAAAAACAACAGAGGACCAATCAATAGATTAGGCAAGGATCACTCATTTGCCATGTTACAGAATACTGTACTGGGTGTAAGGACGTAAGCTGATATGTTAAGCTAATGATATATTTGTTGGTTTAGCTCTGTCTCTTGTTTACATCCAGTCCAGATATCTAAAGCAGAACTTTTCCCTGTTACTTTGATTTGTAGTTTCAAAACAAGGATTGTCATATTTTCTTAAAGGAACTCAACCTATAGGTTTTATACTGAAGTACAAGTTCATTTTAATTTGGTGAGGAGATATCCAAAGGGAAAATGTCTAAATCTAAAAATCCTTTCTTAGGGCTAAGTTCCTTCCTAGGCCCTCACCAAGTTGACACAGCCCCTTTGTCATGTTTGTCATACACACTTTCTGGGAATGTTATGACCCATGCTCAGCATTGGTCACCTGACTGTATTCAACCCTCTGAGAGTGAAAGTGAGTACCAGTCTGGTCTTATACTCACCAACCACTGAAGTGACATTGTCACTGAAAATCTAACTACAGGCAATATGAACACTTATGCTTCATTCATTTCCAGTTGTTTATAACCAAGTACTTATACTCCACTACATGTAAAACAAATTTGATTTTTCTTCTGTGATTTGGGTTCATCAACCCAAACATGCATACTACAGTACCACCTACACAGAGTATTTACATTAGTCTTCCCATTCTACCTGTTATTTAGGTGGCTACGATGATAATATATTGTTTTTTATGTTTCATTTTTTTCTTACTGGCGTTGACTCCTAGGACTATAAATTCTGTTTCTCTTGGGTTTGTGTTATATATGTTCATTTTTTTTTCCTAATCCAATTTTCAAGTCATAGCCTCACTGAACTTCTTCTCCTTCCATTAGCCTATCTTACTTCCAACATCTGCTCTTGAACAAATCTCAAGTTGCACCCTGGCCGGTTTGGCTCAGCCTGTGGTCCAGAGAGACCAGGGTTCAGTTCCCGCTAAGGGCACGGACCTCGGTTGCAGTTTGTCCCCGGCCCCGGTTGAGTCATGCAGGAGGCAGCCACTCGATGTGTCCCTTTTGTGTCGATGTTTCTCTCTCTTCCTCTCTCTCCCTCCCACACTATCTGAACAAAAAAATGGAAAAATGTCCTCAGGTGAGGATTAAAAAAAAACAAAAAACCTCAAGCTGCTCACAATAGTGGAAATAGCCTATGTGTCCATCAATATGAAAGTAGGTAAATATACTGTGGTATAGCAGAATGCAGCTCAGCAATAAAAATTATCAAATTACTGATTCAATGAAACAACATGGATAAATCTCAAAAATATTACACTGAGCAAAATAAACCTTATCCACAAGAGTACATTCTTTATAATTCCATGTATATGAATTTCTATAACAAGCAAAACTGATCTGTGTTGGAAAGAAATCAGAAGAGTGACCGCTTCTAAGGGCTTGGAATGAACTGGGAAGGGGCATGAGGAGCTTCAGGGGTAATGGTAATATTCGATATTTTGATAGGAATTTGGGTTACAC